CTCACAAGGAATAAATGTGACTGGACAACTTTGAAAAACTCGAGTAATTCTACGTGATGATATCGACAAATTTCTGTATTTGAGCAGGTCTTACTAGTTGTTATCAATCCTTTTTTATGGTTCGAAAAAGGTCACCGAAAACTATGAAAATTGGTGTAGAAAAGGGTAATCATTTGTTTTGCAATAGTTTTGGGTAAAATTTGAGTTTACTGGCAAATAGCGGATGTGAACGCAACAAAAACTTTCCCAAAAATTTTCATTTCTCGAGATTTACTAATTAGGTTGAAAGCCTCTTTCCAGAATCATATACATTCATTCATTCTTTCTCAAATCATTTGACTTCATTAATTTTCTGGCTAAAAGACCTCTTTAATTCAAGTGACAGCCAAATGTCAAATAGTTAGTTTTCAAACAATAAAAGGGCGTATGGCCACATTTATAATATGGTCGGGTTTATCGAAATACAGCCAATGAAAATCATTGGTTGAGCACAGATGGGTAGGAGGTGTACGAGACGGATCCAAAATGGATTTTATAACATAGCTCTCGTATCATGAATCGTTTTTTCTCAATTTCATGACCTTATAGCCACAAATCAGTTTCAGATCTTCACTATAGATCAATCAACATACTAAGCAACCATACATGTCCCAACAATTTGAAGGATTGTTGGTCGTAACTATGATAATCGGAGGGATAATGAGAAAAAAACCGGTATTGTTTATGCCTAGTTGATTTCACGGCTTCGTATAAATACGGCGGATCATACCGTACAAACAACTTATCGGATCAGCCACTTTTTTCTCGAAGATTGCGTCATATCTCCTTTTAAGCTAGCATTTGCCGAATTTTTTAGCGGCATGATCCTTCCGTTTTTTTGTAACATCAAATGGTTCGCAAGTTATCAAATTAATATAATTTTCACAGAATATCAAAAATGATGAAACTCGTCGTATTAGTCGCACTAGCCGCTACTGTCTTCGCCACCTGGGGTGAGTTTATTGAGAGAAATTCATATAAGGAGCATGTGATCAAAAAAGTAAAAATCTATTCAGATGGTCAAGTTGAAGACATTCCTGGAGTAAGCGCGCAAAACATGGAGAAACTCCGCGAGCTCCTCACTGTACGTTTATTCCCACCATATTTACGTTTAGAATGGTTGTACCTGACTAAAACCATGTTTTTAGCCTCGGCCGGCTAATAAGGAAGAGTTTAAGGCAAAAATGCAGCAGTGGATGAATAATCTGTCAGAATCAGAGAAGGTATGTAGATTAAAAAAAAAGTTCTATCCTATTTCAGCAATCTACTGATGTGACTCATTTTAGGCAGCAGCCCAGTCCTTCAGGGAACAGATGTGGCAAAAGCACCAGGAAAAAGGC